CACAATCATTTTATTATTTTGTGGTAAGTTGAAGAAGTTCTGGACACAATCCATGTCCATGGCTTTACTTATTTCATTTTCCAACTCGTTCCTTTGATTTTTAGATTTTTTCTCGTTGATGTTTTCAAAAACATGACTTAATCTGAACTTTCGAGCATCTCGTGCACAATCACAACTTATTATCAATGAGATTAGAGCGAAAGTTATTAATATTAAACTGATGATGTGCTTCATAGTGACTGCAATGAGGAACTGATTAAAAGATTGAAATTTTAATGCATTTTATAGTCAAGAATTGATCGGATTTTTATTATTTCTAGAGTATTGCGGCGAAGTTGGGCTTGTTTGTGAGACTGTGCTGGATAATCTTGGACAGTAATGACCAACCCATGTGCTGCGGTACACTAGCGTGTTGGTTAAAACTTTGAAGGATCCCATGAACCGTATGTTATGTACAATGTATGTATGTATGTATGTATGTGTTCCTTGGCACAATAAAGGTTGGGCACCACTGACCCAGGGTAACGACTGAAATTCGTTGGACCACAATCAAGGTTGTGAAACGAATCAATTGGATTTTCTGCTTCAACATCCTTAATAAACATCGCCTGAACAAGACCTCATATTCAGAAAATGAAGAAAAATCAGCAAAATTGAACCAAATTCGAAAATGGAACAGAATAAAAAATGAACCAAAAATTTACTTGATCATCAATCTCACCAAACATGAGAGCCTCTCTAATCCCAAAAGCCTCCAACCCCCTCAAAAAATTAAAATATTCAAAAAAAATTAAAATATCCAAAACTATTTTGAATCAAAACTTAAAAAAAATTAAAATAAAAAATTTGCAAAAAAAATTCGCCGAACGTGGGGCTCGAACCCACGACCCTGAGGTTAAGAGCCTCATGCTCTACCGACTGAGCTAGCTCGGCTGATCATTTACTTGCATAGCGCTGGCTCAAATACAAACTGATTATTAAGGAACTCGAGATTTTGTCAAAAATTCTCAAGAATTGAGCGCGAAAAATGCGAGGATATTTAGACAGATGTTGAATGAGGTCTGGAAATTTATGAAGGTCGTGTTTATGATAAAAATAAAATAAAATATGAAGCACCTGAACAACCTAAATTGTCCTTCAGACACTTTTTGATTATCATCAACTTAATTTATAATAAAAAAATTATTTTAAGATCGACAATAAAAATCTGCTAATGAATTAAGTCAAAAATGAGAAATTCACACGTTAAGTTTCAAAAATAAATTTCAGATAAATTCAGATATTTTCAGTTTGATTATTCAGCAATTTTGCATTTATTTCTGTTTGGATTACTTTTTATTGTCAGAATGAGCGAATTGGTGCTAAATCGCGATTTCTTTTTGCAGAATGCGTGAATTATTATTTAACAGATTTGTGATAATTTTTGCGTAAGATATATTTGAGGTTGTGGAAGTGGCAAAAATGGGGATTTTGTGTTAAAACTGATTGGTTCTTGGTTCTTGGTTTTTGGTTCTTGGTTCTTGGTTCTTGGTTTTTGGTTTTTGGTTCTTGGTTCTTGGTTCTTGGTTCTTGGTTTTTGGTTTTTGGTTTTTGGTTTTTGGATCTTGGTTCTTGGTTCTTGGTTCTTGGTTCTTGGTTTTTGGTTCTTGATTCTTGGTTCTTGGTTCTTGGTTCTTGGTTCTTGGTTTTTGGTTTTTGGTTCTTAGTTCTTGGTTCTTGGTTCTTGATTCTTGGTTTTTGGTTCTTCCGATTCCATTCCTCAGTTCCTAATCTGTAAGCTACGTTTCCCATTTGCTACGTCACTGTCATACATCTAATATTGTCTTATAAGAATCCAACAAAAAATTAATTTTTCCAACTCAATACTGATCTACGTGACTTGTATCGCATGCCTTTTTCCTTCCTTGTCCTCATCAATGCACCCTTCTTGCCTGAAGATAATAAAAATATACCATTTTTACATCAATTTGCAGTTGAATAAATTAAATCTCTTTTTTTTTGCCTTTCTAATTCTTCATTTGGGTCGTTGTGTCCTTAAATAGAATAGAAATTTGTTACACAAGGGTTTGGGCAAGACAAGAGAAAGTTTCAACAAGAAAAAAAGGTAAAAAATGTCAATTTCAATTATTTATGTAAATTTATTTTCAACTTAATGACTCGAAATGGATGAAAAATTTTAACTAAAAGAAAAGGAATTGAAGTGGAAGTAAAAATGACACAGATGAGATATAAGTGACCAGTATAAAGCATATGACACATGAGATTGTTGAGAATATTTTTTGAACAATGATTTTGTCATTAGGGGTCAGAAAAATGTGTAAAAGATTAATAAATTATGAAAAAAAAGGGTTTAAAAATTTATTTTTTATTTTTGATAAATTATCATGGGAAGGCTTGGGAAAAATGACCTGTTTAGGATTCTGCAGACTTTTTAAGATTTAAGGCATTGTTCCTCGAGTAGTAGATCTTCCATGAACCCTTTGAACCATCTTGTTCCTTAATCCCAAACAAAGTGAATAATCCCAAATAAAAAAGTAAATCAACATCCATAAATTAAGGCCCATTAAGTCACTCATCATTGCATTTTTATTGCTCTTCAAATAAAGAAGAATATTGGATATTAAAAAAAAAAACCTTCATATTGAGAGTGAATCACGTAGACAATCGAGACGGATACTCATGCATGCATGCATGCGAGTCAGGAGCCAAGCTCACACACATGCCTGAGTGAATTTGAAACAAACAAAGAATAAAAATCTTACTTTTTTGTTTGTTGTACAATTAAGTGTCATATTAAGTCATACAAGTTCTTATCAATTTATTTTATAATGTCTGAATGTACACAACGGCACACACAGAACCAGAAACTGGATAAAAATAGAAATGAAAATAAATTTAAATTGCTTTTAAATTTGCTCTTCCGCGTGTTGATTGAAAATAAGTTTGAGTGATGAAAGATGATCAAGTGATGAGATTTGGTTAGTATTTTTGAAGGGTATGTTAGGAATATGCTTGTTGCCTAGATAAAACTCGATTATACGAATGTTAATGAAACTCCAATAATCGACTCATCCTCGATTAACCGACTCATTCTTGATTAACCGACTCGTTCTCCATTAACCGACTCATTCTTGATTAACCGACTCATTCTCGAGTAACCGATAAATTCTCGATAAACCGACTCATCCTCGATTAACCGACTCATCCTCGATTAACCGACTCATTCTCGATTTACCGACTTTTCCTTGATTAACCGACTCGTTCTCCATTAACCGACTCATTCTTGATTAACCGACTCATTCTCGAGTAACCGATAAATTCTCGATAAACCGACTCATCCTCGATTAACCGACTCATCCTCGATTAACCGACTCATTCTCGATTTACCGACTCATTCTCGATTAACCGACTTATCCTTGATTAACCGACTCGTTCTCGATTAAGCGACTCATTCTCGAGTAACCGACTCATTCATCGATTGACCGACTCATCTTTATCTAACCGCTTGTATTCCATTGACTCAATCATTTGCCTTATATTTTTACTATAACTCCAAACGACCCCAGCAATGGAAAATTTTACAAAATAATTAAGTTTAAAGATTTCTCAAATCTGAAAATTTATCACTTTTGTGTGAGAATTAGCAGATTATTGAGTACAAATTTGAGGTCTTGCCGAGCAAATATTTGCAAAGAAAAAAAAACTTTATTTTGTCATGACTTGCTTACATTTTATCAATCTTTACATATTTGCATTGCTCATTATCACTGCTTACTAAGTTGAGCTTTGCATGTTTGAGTTTGAAGTTAGCAACTAAATGAATTGTTGGAATTAGAATTCTAGACTTTGTGGCTCGAAGATCAAAGGAAAATCGAATCACTGGATAAATACGTGATTTATGTGGCATAATTTGCACCTTTTCAGGATGACTTAATTCTGGTTTAAATGCACAAATAATGAGTAATAGCTGTAAATTCAGTTCAGAACGACCTTAACCTTGGTTATCATGCATATTGTTAGTCTGCTAATGGTATTTAACCTATGTTATGCCTGTTTGGGATTTAAATGACTCTCAAGAGGATCAACACATCGTTTAAGACTCAAGTTTGACAAACTCATTCACTTACAACCTCAACAACCTCAAAGCATACCAAAAACAGTCAAAAACTAGCAAATATTTAAAATAAAAAAAACTATAAAGTCTGGGAAAACCATGAAAAATTCTGGTTAAAGTAGATTGATAAGGGGTCGTTCATTTATGACGTCCAACATTTAGGGAAGGAGGGGCTATTCCTAACCTGATTTGTGACATCGAATAGGAGGTGGGAGGGGGTATATTGACATCTGTGACAGTTTTGTGACAGAGGGGGGGGGGGAGGAAGTATAAAAATTAGGTTTTTTGATGGACGTCATAAATGAACGGCCCCTAACATCAAGATATTAAATGTTGTCATATCTGTGTTCAAAGTTTAACACCTGTACTTACCTCATTATCAATTAATTTGGTTTTTACAAACAATTTTAATTTACAGATTTACTTTTAACTAGTAAAGTCTCCCATCAAGCATGAAGGTAAAAATAATAAGATCCAGTACATTTAGACCAAATTCGTCAAAACAAAAGATACAGCACAATTATGTAGAAAACCAAATATCCGCCATTTTGAATTTTTTACAATTTTTTAACACAGTGATGGCCAACCTATGTGCCACGACACACTCATGTACGGAAAAAAACATCAAGAAATCCCACAAACCGTATGCTGTATTCGGTTCTAATCATGATCTAACCTCAAAATGTACCATGACTTAAAAAAGGTTGGCAACCACTGGTTTAACATATTTCAAAATAAATCATAGATTAGACTGAAAAGTCACCGCACGAATTATAGAGTTACAAATTATGAAAATTATATTAAAGATTCTGCGCAATCTTCTGGACTTAACTTGAAGCATATATAAATACGAGTCAGTTGGTGACAATATAAATCATTCTGAATCGAATTATTGGTAAAGCTAGTAAGGCTGTTGTCTTTAGTGAATTAAATTTGTATTGCTGCTGATTTCAACAATTTTTTTAACATAAAATGATTCCACGAGTTAGCAAAGCTGTACAATCAAATCATGTTTTAGTGAAAGAAGTCAAAAATGCAGCTATTGTTACACTTAATCGTCCTGAGAAGATGAACACATTCACACCATGGATGCCAAAGTAAGATCATTAAGATTGGCTGATTCGAGGCTCAGACACTCTTATACTGACATTCTTATACGAACTAGCTATAGCTTACAAGTTATTCTCCTTCCAGGCAGATCTACAATACCTTAAAGGACCTCGAATCATCCAACAATAAGCTTGTAGTCATTCAAGGTGCTGGAAATCGTGCTTTTTGTGCTGGCATTGATTTAGGTGAGTTCTTAAAGAACAAGACAACAGATTCAGTAATGGATATCCAGATCTATGCATCAAATTCGATGGACTTGATATCAAGCTATAAGAAACCTTATGTAGCACTTTTGGATAAGATTGTCATGGGCGGTGGCTGTTTTTTCTCAATGTCCTCAAAATATAGAATTGCAACAGAACGGACAACTTTTGCGATGCCAGAGACTGAAATTGGACTTTTTACTAATGCTGGTGCAAGCTACTTCCTTCCGAGACTTAAAAACAATCTTGGATACTATATTGGACTTGCTGGTGCTCGACTTAATGGATATTAAGTTAAGAAGTTCGGACTAGCTTCACATTACATTGAAAGTCACAGACTTGATGACTTTTTAGGTTCTGTGGTTGAGTGTCAGGACGACCATGAAGTTGAGAAAGCAATTCTACAGTTTTCAACGGAACCGATTTGCAAAGACACTGAGCTTGATGAGATTCTACCAAAGATTGATAAGTGCTTTAATGCTGACTCAGTTGAAGAAATCATGGACAATTTAAATGTAGAAGGAAGTGATTGGGCAAAGCAAGTAGCAAAGAAGCTGAACCGAATGTCACCAACAAGTGTGAAGATATGTCATAGACTTATTAAATTGGGAAGCAACCTGACTTTGCAGGAAGGATTGACAGTTGAACATATTTTGGCATATAACATTGGTCTGAGGTATTCACATGATTTTCAGGAAGGTATCCGTGCATTGATTATTGACAAAGACATGAAACCTCAATGGAATCCAAAGACTTTAAAGGATGTGACTCAGGAGCATGTGGACATGTTTTTTGGACCATTACCTGATGATATGGAACTGACATTTAAAAGTAATGTCAAAAAGTCAAAATCTTGAATAAAAATTTTTGATTATTTTGGTTAAATTTTTTAAAAATTGTTTGAGAATGGCGAATTTCAAACCGTAGACCCCCAAAATTGTTTGAGAATTATATTTTTTGAAACCATAGACCCCAATATTTTTTGAGAATTATATTTTTTTGAAACCATAGACCCCCAAAACTTCAGAATTCTGTATAAAACCAGCGAATACAATGTAAACTAGATCTTTAATTTTAGTAGCAAAAAACTGAGAAATCACTTTAAAATCTAAATATAAAGTTTGCAGCACCCATTAAAAATGCCATTGACCCCAAATCACATCCTCACCTTCACTCAATCACTAACAAATCACCGTCAATAATCCGCAAATCCCACGAAAAATCCACAGTAAGTAATAAAAGATTTCTCTATAAATATCTCATACCGACAAAGCAAATCACACAAGAGAATCAGAATTGCAATCTATATCCATCGCACTTTCTCGCTCTTTTGTTTACTCAAGCGCCGAATAACGCCGGTATAAAAATAAAATTGTGAAAATGTAAAATGTGAGTTGTTTTAAGGTTGATTTAGATATTGTGGGGATAAAGCGCAGTTTTGGTGGGTCTCAGGGGATTATTTGATTGAATTGCAATTTTGAGGTTACGTAATTTTACGTACGTTTTATTTACGTACGTATTTTTTGTTACGTATTTTTACGCAAGCAACTTTACGCAAATAAATCTCGAAAATGTCAATTTTCACGAATTCAACCGCAAATTACCAAAACTCACCAGGGGCGTAGCCAGGAATTTGAAGAGGGGGGGGAGGGGACAAAAAAAATTTATATTGAAAATTCAGAGGGAAGGGGGAGGATTTTTATGATTTTTTCATAAAACTCATAGCAAAATGAAGAATTTTCTGTTAACGTCGGGGGATTTGTCCCCCAAATCCAACCCCCCCCCCCCCCTAAAATAGAATAGAATGTAATGTAGGGTTTTGCTGATAGCAGAAGCGGCACTGCGATCGATGATCTGTTGTACCTTCCCAAGTCACCTATGCTAGAATTCTAATGTCCTTAAGTCATTATAAAGCCAATAATACCCTGATAATGCTGCTTATTTATATTTATATCCTCATCATTCAAATGATCACCTCATACCCCCAAAATTTCAACAACAATAAAACAACAAAAAAAATCTGAATATTCACAATGAGGCAACACAATAAGGCACAATTGTTGACAAGTCTCGCTTAATTTCAATTTACATTTTTCATTTTATTTACTCGACTCATCACATCGGTCACATATACATACATTTATACGCAGACAATCTTCCTGAATTTAGTCGCCGCTTGACTCGTTTTGACTTTTTTGTTTACTAAAAGACAGCGTTGACTACGTGCTGAATGAGATTCATGGCGTTGAAAAAAGATGAAATAAAAAAATTGAAGATTATAAACAGCAGAACAATGAATATTTAAGTTTAGGACGGTAATGGACATGAATGCATGTCGGTAGCTGAGGATTAACACAGAAACACAGTCTTTTGTTTATTTTACAATTGAAAACAATCATTGGCGTTGCTGTATATGGATAAGTGACTTGATAAGCAGTCTGGTGGGGTACTGAAGGTGGTTCCTGGGACTGCCTGACTGACAAACATACACTTTTGAACTTTAATGTAGCTTGGGATGCCCTTAGAGCTGTAGAAACCGGGGAAATGGGAGTATAAAAGAGTAAATTTGAGAATAAGCCTAGCTGCAAGGGTGTGAAACTAATCAAATAGAACCAAAAAATGGCCAAAAATCAGATATTTAGTTCAACACCCTTTGACAATCGTAGTTTTGTCTCTAAGCACCAAAGGAGTCAACAAAACAACCTTAATTCCACCTAATGAGATGAATTTGATGACAACCTGGTTCATTTTGAGGTTATAAAAAATTTTGAGGTTAGAATTTTTTTTGAGGTTAAAAAAAATTTTGAGGTTGTAAAAATAATTTGAGGTTATAAAAAATTGAAAAACAAATTCATCATAACCTCAAACTTTTCCCACGATGTTGTTTTCCCCTCGCCAACTATATTACGTGGAATAATTAATTATTATGGCACATGTAGATCTTTCCAGTTGATGAATATTGAATGCAAATTACATCGATGAATATGGATGAGCCTTTTTACATCTTTTTTTTTTCTTTTGTCCATGCCTCGTTGTGACTCAATAATAAGTGCAATTTCATTTTAAATGCACAGTCACTCCATCGCACTCACTCAATTTTTTGAATTAATTAACACATGATGTGATGTTAACAAAGGAGGACTAATTGCTTTTTTATTTAAATTATTCTGTATTTTTGAGCTGTTGTTGTGGATTGAATGGGATGGGTGACTAATAAGGTGCAGTAAATGAGGTGTTTGATGTGTTATTTAATGCTAGGATGTTAAAATTTTGAATTTTACCAAAAAATTATCTAATTTGGTGTAAATTCTGATTAAAATAAACAAGTATAAAAAACCAAAAATGCGCTTTATTTCTACCAAACCCAATATCATTACTAACTTGCCAACCTAATAATAATCCAACTAGATTGAGGCGATTAAAAATATATTAAAAATTATACGATTATTACAATTATTGAAGAAAAAAAAGAGATAAATTTATGAGAATTTATGACAGTCGTGCATGTAAGCTGGCTATCTCAGGCACTAAGTCAACAAGCAAATAAATTACATCACTTAATTATTGTTTGTGTAATTTTACATTTTATATTCTCATTACAATCTTACTGCTGCTGCTTGAGATGATTTGAATGAGAATTTGAGGAGACTTTGAAGTTAGATTTATTGGATATTGAGAATTGGCGTGATAATTTTGTTTGGATTGATGCTAGCATTTATTGTTATTGATGTGATTTAAATTTAGGACGAATTGAGGATTGTTGAATGTGTTTCGAGGTTTATATGCAATTTCTGAGCTTAGTGACCGATTCCAACCTCAAAATGTGGATTCTAACCTCAAATTGTGAATTATAACCTCAAATTGTGAATTATAACCTCAAAATTTTGATTCTAGCCTACAAATGTGGATTTTAACTTGAAAGTGTGATTTCTAACCTAAAATGTAGATTCTAACCTCGAAATGTGGATTATAACCTTAAAATTTCGATTCTAGCATACAAATGTGGATTTTAACTTAAAAGTGTGAATCCTAACCTAAAATGTTGATTCTAACCTCAAAATGTGGATTATAACCTTAAAATTTCGATTCTAACCTACAAATGTGAACTCTAACCTTAAAATTCTAGTAGCTACAAACTTAGTCATCATCACCAACACAAAATTCACCGAAAAAAATTCTTTAACAATCAAAACAAAACTGAAAATTCAACAGAAAATTGAAAACAAATCCAAAATAACGCCGGCTAGTTGATGGACATGGAGCCATGCGAGACACACGTGAATCGTCTGTTTTCATCTGAAAATAAAGTAAAACAGAGCAAAAAAAGGTTGTTTAAATATTTACATCTGCAAATGTTTTCAACAAAAATTTTAAATGGATTTTTGTAGTTTTTAAGAAGCTAGAATTTGTGATGAAATGACTCGATCGCTTTACTTTGAACATGTTTTTCGGTAGAATCGATTCTGAAAATATAAATTCTGGTTAAGGAATTCGCAAAAATATTTACTTTTGATTTTTTTTTTGTGGATTTTTTGTTTTATTTGGAATTTTGGAGTTGTTTTTACTTCTGTTTGATATTAAACAAGATTTTTGGTGAAAGGAATTCGTGGAATTTGGCAAATATTTTAAAAACTCCTGGAATTGGACTGTTTGGACTTTAATATTTTGTTGGATAACTTTCAATATTTGCCAGTTTGAATTTTATTTTGAGGTTTGAATCTGAATTTTTGAGGTTAGAATCTGAATTTTGAGGTTAAAATTTGAACTTTTAGGATAGAATCTGAATTTTGAGGTTAGAATCTGAATTTTGAGGTTAGAATCTGAACTTTCAGGATGGAATCTGAATTTTGAGGTTAGAATCTAAACTTTTAGGATAGAATCTGAATTTTGAGGTTAGAATTTGAACTTTTAGGTAAGAATTTGAATTTTGAGAGAAGAATCTGAACTTTTAGGATAGAATCTGAATTTTGAAGTTAGAATTTGAATTTTTGAGGTTAGAATCTGAACTTTTATGATAGAATCTGAATTTTGTGGTTTAAACTTGAACTTTTAGGATAAAATCTGAATTTTGAGGTTAGAATCTGAACTTTTAGGATAGAATCTGAATTTTGAGGTTATATTATGAACTTTTAGGATAGAATCTGAATTTTGAGGTTAGAATCTGAACTTTTATGATAGAATCTGAATTTTGTGGTTTAAACTTGAACTTTTAGGATAAAATCTGAATTTTGAGGTTAGAATCTGAACTTTTATGATAGAATCTGAATTTTGAGGTTATATTATGAACTTTTAGGGTAGAATCTGAATTTTGAGGTTGAATTTGAACTTTTAGGATAGAATCTGAATTTTGTGGTTAGATTTGAACTTTTAGGATAGAATCTGAATTTTGAGGTTAGAATTTGAACTTTTAGGTTAGAATTTGAATTTTTGAGGTTAGAATCTGAACTTTTATGATAGAATCGGAATTTTGTGGTTTAAACTTGAACTTTTAGGATAAAATCTGAATTTTGAGGTTAGAATCTGAACTTTTAGGATAGAATCTGAATTTTGAGGCTATATTATGAACTTTTAGGATAGAATCTGAATTTTGAGGTTAGAATCTGAATTTTGAGGTTAGAATCTGAACTTTCAGGATGGAATCTGAATTTTTAGGTTAGAATCTAAACTTTTAGGATAGAATCTGAATTTTGAGGTTAGAATTTGAACTTTTAGGTAAGAATTTGAATTTTGAGAGAAGAATCTGAACTTTTAGGATAGAATCTGAATTTTGAAGTTAGAATTTGAACTTTTAGGTTAGAATTAGAATTTTGAAGGTTAGAATCTGAACTTTTATGATAGAATCTGAATTTTGTGGTTT